GGCCTTAAAAATGTTATTTCATGAGTTCGCCTGCCCATCCAGTAATAGTTAATGGTAACTAACTTGGCTTGTTGTCCTCGATGGAGACTCAAACCAATATGAGCTCCATGTTCAACCCCTCCACTGCAGTACTACATAGAGGGAGAATAACGGAAATAAAGGAGGAGATGGGGAGGTGGAGGGATGGCGCAGTGACTCCTGATTATATAGGCTTGTAATGATGATTGACAGGACTGGATGATTAGGCTCCTCCCAACCCTACGTTTAGAACTTCATTAAAAGTTGTGAGTATGAGTAAATTAATATTTGCTATTAAAATGTTGCTGTCAAATAATAATTAAATTAATTAAATTTTTGTCAAATTTGACTAATGAACTACTTTTCTATCTGTCATGTAACTGGAAAATAGACCATTTAGATTACTTCATGCAGTCTAGATCTCCTTCAGGTCAACACATTCCTGTTGTCACTCTCTGACTTCATATCTCACAACTCATCAGTGTGCAGTTCAGTGAGCTTGACTATAAATCACTATTTACTGGAAAATTGCACTGGGTAATACAGGTGTTTTTAGTAAACAAATATCCTAACCACAAAGCAGATTAAAAGGGTGGAATGAGCGGTAAAAATCTGATGACATGGAGATAAAAGCAGTAAAAGAGACTCAACATTATGAAGGGTCCCATTATAGGATAGGCTGACAGGTTAACCCACTGCAGTGTTCTCCACTGGTTTTGCTTTAGGGCCTAGATTTTATATCCTCACCCTCAGGTCCATCAGTTCACATCTTGAGAAGAGAAAAGCTGTATGTTTGTAAGAAACAAATTCATCGAGATGTTTTTTTACTTCAAACCATCATTTCCAGACAAGATACGAGTCCATAATCCATAATAACGCTTCCTCCAGTGAAAAAGTCCATCCCGTGTTGTCCCCTCACATCAAAATCCACCAACATATTTGTTTAGAACTGACTCTTTCTGCATGTAAATGGTGCTTGATCTGTGCATATTTCTCTCCTCAGTCAGACGTGACAACTGTAAAATGCAATATTATGTATAGAGGACTCGTATTTTAGCCTGAAGCAGCAGTTTGAAGTTAAAAATGTCTTGATGGATTTGTTTCTACAAACATGCAGCTTTTCACTTCACAAGACGTTAATTGATGGACTAGAAAAGTGTGGATTACTCGTGGATTATTGTGACGTTTTTATCGGCTGTTTGGACTCTCATTCTGACGGCACCCATTCACTGCAGAGGAGAAAATGATGTAAGGCTAAATTTCTCTATACCTTTTCCGGCGAGGAAACAAACTCATCTACATCTTGGATAGCCTGAGGATGAGGAAGTTTTCCTTTAATATAACCTTGAGCTACACAGGCCCACCAATATAGGAACTGATTAATGTTATATGCTAAAAGAGGAAATAGTAATTTCCCCATTTAGCATTTAACATGTTAATCAATTGGAACAAACACTGGGCCAAATATTGGAGTATAAGGCGTGTTTTTGAAACATTAAGAGAATGTACCACTAATTTTTGGGTCATTTTTTTCTTTTCTTTCTTTTTTAGACTAAAAGTAACTTTAATAAAACACATCAGAGCTATTGAGAATCTAATATGTGAGGACAAAAAGTACAGTGTTTTGCTGTTTAACTCTCTTTTGGGTGCAGGGATTATGCCATCATGGCTTCAGTGCCAGTACTAGCTCTCTGTGGTGCAATAGACTGTGGCTTTCTCCCATGCTTTGCTGGATTTGGCATCCAGCCTAGATTCTCTGCCTCATCTAAACCTGGCAATCTGGTGCAAGCCAAAAAAGGAAAGTGCATATCTACTGTGCCCTTTGGCATTTTGGTATATGTGTTTGTTTTATATTCATTTATTAGAACAAATAAAAATAGAATTGACTTTTATGGTTGCTGTTTGAAAATGTTATTTAGCAGATGCTTTTTATCTAAAGTGAATTAAACTGGTCCCCATGCATCTATTTATCTATTATTGTTTTAAGTGCATCTAAGCAAGGGGTGAAAGTACCAGACATTGGAGTTGTTAAAAGGTCTTTAATAGTAGAAAGGCTTTGCTTTTATTATCATGAATCAATGTTACCTGAATAAAACTTCTGAACAAAACTGAAAAAATGATCTGACACAAAATAAAGATCAGTATAATGATCTATGTTTATCTTTTTCTATTAATGCAAATCATTTGACTCAAAGCCAATGTTCAGTGGAATCTGAGTTTTCAAGTAGAACACACTGTTATTGTTCACATTGCTCATGCTGGGATGACAAATGAGCTGTCACTAGAATAAACAAGATATGAGTGGACATTTAATCACAAGCAATCAGAGAAAAGGAATGCAGAGAATTTAAGTGACCTGTCTGTTTCCCTCTTAGTATTGTAAAGGTCCCCCCCCCCATGTCTAGAAAGGGTTTCCTATTCTGAATGACTTTGAAGGCACAGGGAATTTCCTAAGTGGACTTTAACTTCTCAGAATGTTTTGATCATAATGAGGCAAAAAAGCTGAAGGCAGTCTTATGAGGGCTTAATTTGTGCTGTATTTGACTTAAAAACATAAGATTGGAAATGCTGTTTTGATTTCCCTTACGAAAAAGAAGTTTATTCAAGTGTGCTATTAGTATACTTCTTTTAAACTATAAAATAGGAAAGTATACTTTTAGTCTACTTTTTATGCACTTCTCAGAAATGGGCTTTATATACTTCTCAGAAATATACTTAAAATGACATTTAAGTATACTTGATTTATAGCCTACTTAGAAAAAGTCTAAATATATTTGAGCTATACTTGTGTTCCTAGAATCCGTGTTTTCATTGTTATACTGTAGGGGGCGCTACTCCACATCTTCTGTACAGAATTTCCAAAAAACACAAGTGAAGAAGAAACCGAAACAACAGACGCTTCCACATGTAATCTAACACGATCATCAGACATAAAACAGCATCAAAACTGTGTAAAGTTGATGTAATGTCGACCAATGAAGAGGTAATAATGACTGTCAAGCTTTGGGGTGTTGATCGACTCTATCTACGTTTTGATTATCGTTCTGAATCCAATTTATAGTCTTTTTTTCAGCTTTTTGTTCAAAATGTTGTTTATTTCTTTTTTTTTTCTTCTTTTTTTTATGAAACTTATCCACATTCCAGTGTTTCAAAAAATAATGCATGAAGCTAGAATAAAATGTTTTTGTTTACAAGCAGATACCATGTTCTTTTGATGTTTTGTATGTTCAGATATTCATGTAACAAAATATATACAAATTAATACCTAAATAGGGACATAGTAGTATACTTAAAGTATGATGTAAAGTTAACTTAAAGAAAACTTACGAGTATACTTGCAGTATAAAACTACTAAACTAGTAGTTTACTGAGACTATACTTCAAAGTGTACTAAAAATGCTACTACGAGTATTTAAGTATCTAAGTATTTAATTAGAAAACTATCAGTATTCATATAAGTTCACTTTTAGTATAGTTGCAGTACAAGCTAAAAATATTGTTGTAAACTAATTGTGTACTTAAAGTTTACTACTGTTATATTTAAAGTATACTTAAAAGTATACTTTTATTTACTAGAAAGTGGGCCAATTTAGTCCCAAGGAGTATTGAAATAGTACACTTACAAGTATACTACTAGTACACTGATATTTGTATACTTGCTACATAAAGTATACTTAAAATATACTTGAACTTTACTTAAGCATACTTAATAAAATAGACTTGAAGTACACTACTTTTTGGTAAGGGTTAGCTGATGTACATCACTATCTATTGTGTTCATTTATCTTCTATGACTTTTTTCTGTCTTTACTCTCTTTCTCACAAAGGCTGCTATATCAGGTGTCACTAGAGAATGAGAGTTTACATCATGTTTAACTTTACACCCATATATTACAATTCATCCTCTTAAAAGGGTAAAACGCACTTTCCTTTTGTAGCAGAACTACAATTACTCTCAGATCTTTAAGTTGAGCATGTCCACACCTGCCTTATTCTTAAAAATGATACACTTCACTGACTATGCCAGCAAGTTAGTAACCTTTGTGTAGCTCTGTGTTAGAAATAACAGCCTCTTTGTTCTCACGTGTTCATTAGTCTTTCTGCCTGGTACAGTATTTCCAAAGAATAAAGCATCACTAAGCAATTGACTTTCAGCTACGTAGACAATGTAAAAAGTACATTCCATTTAGTCAAATAAAGGCATTTATTGACAAGAAACAATGATTTCATCAGTGTGGTTATGATTTCCGGTTATGATCAGGTGGCATAAAGTGCCATTTAAACTGGTCAGTTTCACACAGAAATACTTAAGGGCAATGTTTTCTAATGTATTCCCCAGAGACATGCAATACAGCACTCTTCAGGGAAAACTGAGTGATATTTGAACTTCAGAATGGCATTTTGTAGACTATGCCAAAGTGAAATCCATTAGGTAGGCTATATCAGGGTATGAAAAGAGCAAGGGAACATTTTGCTCTCTTTCTGTTCAAGCCCAATCCAATCTTTCTTTATTCTTAGAAAGTAAAGTTCTCACAGAGAAAGGCAAAATGTGCTTCTGTGCTTCAGGGTACGACTTATGGAGCTAGTGTTTGAGCCATGTTTATATGACTCTTTGCATGTATCTACGTTTAACCCCAAAAATTACAAGTCAGAGCTGCAATATATCGACGCTCGCCAACAAAATTCACGTTTAGCCGATGGGGTAACCATAGCAACATCCTGCTGAGCTTTATCGACAAAACTCGGTATTTTTTTACATTATTACACATTGCACATATGCTATAACAACTATGTCACAAAAACCTTTTTTTTAAAGATGACAAAAGACAACTTGGACGCAACTGTTCGCGTATCTAACCTATAAAGTCAACCTCACGTTCTAGTTTGGCCAAATCACGTGATCAATTCCTTGCCTGCGGTCGGTTTGTCCTTGGCTCTGACGTCATTAAGTATCCTGAGTATGAAAACTTTACAGCAGCAGTGTCAAGGTGTGTGTGTGTGTGTGTGTGTGTGTGTGTGTGTGTGCTACCCTCAGCTCACTAAATGAATGGATCCTGCTCGCGTATGGGCGATTTTTCAAGAATCATCTAATTCTGGATTCAATGCATTTATCACTCGGGATCAGTGATGACTTGGCTTCTGATGTGGGTTCTACTATTTGCTTGTGTACCGCAGGTAACAAATATGTTTGTTTATGTATTTATATTTATTTACTTTAATATAGTATCTGAATTATTCGATGAAATAACGCATAAGCAACACACCACACCTACAGTTTAATTTAAAACAGGAGACTGTTTTAGCATGCGTTGGAAAACTGTATTTTTTTACCTACAGGCCTACTACGATTACTATACTACTATTTATAATAAATAATAGCCTATGTTCTTTTGCATTAACACTGTAAAAGTTGCTTGGTGCCTGCACATCAAATTTTGAATTGAAATATTTAATGTGCTCTGTAAAATAAACATATAACAAACCACACAATGAAACAGAGCATTTCAAAATCCTATTCTTTAAATATATTCTAGTTTTTAGTAAAGTGAAAATGAGACACCTTATCAAAGGTTTGTTACGTAACAGTATTTGCATCAGTAACTCTGATACCCCTCTATTCCACGTTAAATTCATACCATATCTTGAATAATTGAAATTTAAATTCGCTATAGATTATCATTTAATTATATGCGACCGGCATTTGTAACAGATGACCTCATGTTTCACGCATTTGAGGAATGCAATTCCTTAACAACAAATGTAATGTGTGAGAGTACACTGCCGCCCTATGGACAGAAATAAACATGTTTGTCAAAATGCATGAGTGATATCCCTTATTGGTTTGACTCATTAAAGCTACATACTCTTTAAAGCTAAATTCACTCCATTATGTCTTTGAACATGACAGCCATCCTCTTTGATACTTATAACTGTGACCCAGAGGGCGTACTTATCCTGCTTTAAATGTATTCAACTTGAGCTGTCTCTTCCACCTTCCATATCTGCTGCTAATCTCACACAGGCTAAAAGAGGTCAAATGTTATGGTGCCCTGCAGCTGTGAGCCACCAGTCCGGTTTACTTTGCGTGTGGTGTATTACTTAAGTCTGTTGCCATTTCAATCAATCATCTTGTTAATTGAACCTGAGGGCCTGAAGCAGTCGACTTTATGTGCCTGCTAAAATCATTTATCAACATGATCTGTCATCCAATACCCCATTATTTACATCAGTTTAAACATTTAGATACATACCGTAAAATAAAAAGTGCACTGGAAACCTTAAAATTAATCATATTTAATCTACCCACCCATTAGCTGTGTTTGTTTCTTGACCTGATGTGCAATGATTATCTAGTACAAAATGAGACCCATGAGCTGACAGCATGTCTATAGCTATTGTAATTTGATATATGCAGGAAAGTGTAATTAGAACTGGTTCATTACTCTGAGATATAGTAATATGTATGGGTGATTAATTAAGCTACATTGATTCCAAATATAAATGGCATCATAAATTACATTTAGAGGTTCAGTTGAAATGCTTTACATAAAGAACTACAAATTAAGACATTTATCTATGAAAGCTTGTTTCCGCCATAGGATAAAAAAAATAAAAAGGTAATTGTGACCTTTTATCTCACAATTGTAACTTTTTTCTCACAATTCTGATACACCGTTCTATATATATATATATATATATATATATATAAATGAATTATTACCTCAGAATTCAGAGAAATAAAGTCAAACTTGTAAGATGTAAACTCAGAATTAAAAGTTTATAACTTGCAATTATAAGATATAAACTTAAAATTGTGAGAAAAAAGTCCCTCTTTATTTTATTATTATTATTATTCATTAATATCACAGTAGCCAGGAGGAATCTTGGAGGGGTGGGGAACAAAAGCCTAAATATGTCAGAAACAGGAATCTGTCAGGACTTGTGTCTTACAGATTCACAGAGCATTTGCCCAGGATTCCTCTAAGATGCTGTCCATACCAGAGTCCATCGCCCCGGAGCCCTATAATCGCACCCAGTACTGCCAATGGCCCTGCAAATGTCCTAAAACTCCCCCCACCTGTCCACCAGGTGTGAGCTTGGTCATGGACGGCTGCGATTGCTGCAGAGCATGTGCCAAACAGGTGGGGGAGGTTTGCAACGAGAAAGAAAACTGTGACCATCATCGTGGCCTTTACTGTGATTACAGCGCAGACAAGCCTAGGTACGAAAAAGGAGTATGTGCCTGTAAGTGTCCTTGTACTAACACAGCCTTCTTATTAACACTGTGTTCCGGTCATAGATTAGATTACGATGAAGAATTAAAAGGTGGATTAAGGTGGCGGAACCCAGATAAACCAAGCCAGGGGATGCTGAGCAGAATTATAATACATTCTGTTCACCTTTTAGCACAGCACAACACATCACATCACACACTTTTCTTGGTATTGTATATCCAGTGTGTGTTTGATGAACTTGACTTCACTCGTTTTGCTCTTTGTTGCTATCCAGATCTGCCAGGCACTGGCTGCGAGCACAATGGTGTGATCTATCGCAATGGCCAGAGCTTCCAGCCCAATTGCAAATACCAGTGTTTGTGTGTGAATGGTGCGATCGGATGTGTCTCGCTGTGTAACGAGTCTCAGCCTCCCAGGGTTTGGTGCCAGAACCCACGGCGAGTTAAAATCCCCGGCCGCTGCTGTGAGCAGTGGATCTGTGATGAGTCCAGGAGGGGGCGCAAGACAGCAGCAAGACACACAATGGCTGGTATGATCTCCAGTGTCTCGTAAACTTCCTGCAAATGGCTGGGAACTCATTCTGGGCAGATAATTCGTTGATAATGCTTGGAACATGTCCCTTTAAGTGATACCATGCACTTGAATATAGAAACAAGACTAAACCGTTTAGACAGTACAGTTTATTACTTAATATACAGATGTTACTTTACAACAGTGAACAAACTAATTAAAACTTACAACAGGATATTACAAGGAAACATATGTCAACATATGTTTTCTAATGTCAGTTCCAGGCCTCTAAGACTCATGGAAATGTCTACAGTTTGTACATTTATATTATTATATTATAACAATTAACATGTACAGAAGTTTGGGGTTGGAAAGACTTACTTTTTTTCATTTAAAGTGATCTAAAACATTAATATTGTGTGTGTGTGTGTGTGTGTGTGTGTGTGTGTGTGTGTGTGTGTGTGTACACACTACTAATCTAAACTTTGGGGTTGATAAGATTTTTTTAAATGCTTTATCTCTTTATGTTCATTAAGGCTGCATTTATTCAGTCAAAATTAGTGAAAACAGCAATGCTATGAAGTATTACAATTTAAAAGAGCAGTTTTCTATTTTAATATATTTTAAAATAAAATATTAATTTATTTCTGTGATGGCAAAGCTTAATTAAGAAACATGTTAAAAGCAGGTGATAATTTTATTTCAAGATTCTGTGATGAATAGCAAGTGCAAATGAACAGAATTTATTTTGAAATATAAATCTTTTGTGACATTGTAAATGTCTTTACTGTAACGTTTGATTAATTACACATTTACACAATCACACATTTAAATGTAATGCATCCTTGCTGAATAACATTATTAATTTCTTAAAATCCTTACTGACCCCAAGCTTTTGAATGGTATATATATATATATATATATATATATATAATCATTGTCTTTGCATTCTTACAGCCCTGTCTAGTGTAAAAGACACCTGGCACAAGAACTGTGTGACACAGGAATTTATTTTGAAATATAAATCTTTTGTGACATTGTAAATGTCTTTACTGTAACGTTTGATTAATTACACATTTACACAATCACACATTTAAATGTAATGCATCCTTGCTGAATAACATTATTAATTTCTTAAAATCCTTACTGACCCCAAGCTTTTGAATGGTATATATATATATATATATATATATATATAATCATTGTCTTTGCATTCTTACAGCCCTGTCTAGTGTAAAAGACACCTGGCACAAGAACTGTGTGACCCAAACAACCTCCTGGAGTCCCTGCTCAAAGACCTGCGGCCGTGGAGTGTCTTTACGCATTACTAACAACAACAAGCAGTGTCAGATGGTCAAAGAGAGCAGACTCTGCAACATCCGGCCATGCAAAGTGGATATCACAAAGCACATCAAGGTTTCAGATCCATTGTTACATTTGAGAGTGAAATTAATGACTATAGTGTATAAAAGGATATGTTTTGACCCTATGCCTTTTTGCTCTTTTTTCATCTCTCCACAAGCCTGGAAAGAAGTGCTTGAACATCTACAGGGAGGAAAAGCCACACAACTTCACTATCTCAGGCTGCACCAGTACAAACACTTACTGGCCCAAGTACTGTGGAGTGTGTACAGATGAGCGCTGCTGCATCCCTTACAAATCTAAGACTGTTGAGGTCGACTTTCAGTGCCCGAACGGACCTGGCTTCACCTGGCAGATCATGTGGATTAACGCCTGCTTCTGCAACCTGAGCTGTAAAAACCCCAATGACATATTTACAGATCTAGAACTGTACCATGAGAGAGGTGAGGTTGGAAACTGAATGTACGAGACCTTGCAGAAAAGTCAATAGAAAGATTTGGGAGAAAGCCAGAGTTTTTTTTTTCCTGAGCAAGAGTTAATATTTAATTGACCATCATCTTTGGAGTTTTTTTTTTTGTATTATGAAATAAACCAATATATCCTAATATATTTTATTTTGAGACTATGTGGCCTATTGCAACCAAATAGTTCATATATGTAGTTATTTCAACCAAGATTATCCCAGCTTTTGTCATATTGCGACAAATCCTTTTGTACAAAAGATGCAAGTATGTATGAAGACAATATCATGTTGACTTCGGTTTAATTTATACAAATTCTATGTAAAAAAAATATATATTGCGTTTATGTATTGATAATGTACAGTTTTTGTAATTTCATGCCTTTTCTACATTTATGCTCTTAAACGACACTGTAGTCCTTGGAGCGAATTTTGCCTTATAAAGTTAGGCTTTCCATGTACTATAACGTTTTGTATACACTTCTAATTGAGAGACAAAAAAAACCAGACAAAAAATTTGAGTAACCAGCTTTTTATTTTCCTTTTTTAAATAAATACAAACTGTTATTCCATTAAAAATGCAGTGCATTAGATTGTTTTACATCTTTACAAAGCAGAGTGCCTTACCAAGCTGCAAGCATTTGTTTTAGTGTGTGTGGAAGAGCAGGTGAGTTGCTTATATTATCTCTTTATGAGCAATCCTTCATTTTACTCTTTCAAAGCCTTGAGAAAAAAAAGCATCCAGTCCAAGTAGAGGATTCCATGGCACATTTTGTTCTGTTGTGCTTGATTGCATAGAAATCATCATCGTTACAAACAAAAAACACCAAAAATAATCACTCATATAGTCATTTTCGTGTATTCTTATATCTACAAATTGATTTTGTTAAACTAATGTTAAGATTCTTTAAAAACATTTGATCCCATAAAAATAATTTAAAATCACTTTCAAGAGCATCAATCACTGAGTTACACATATAACCCAAAATAATGGGACACTCCCAACAAGGAAAATGCAAATCAACACATTATGAGCTTAAACCTTAGTTTTATAAGGTAGGTTAGCATCATGAAAAAAATACCACCATCTCTACTCTGTGGTCAACCAATCCCTTTTCTATTCAGTGAGGTCCATTTCAACATATACAGATTATACAAATTAATTATGTACTTAAACTAGCGTGTAAAAGTGGTATAATAACTTGACATAAGAAAATGAATCGCAGACTAGAGATCAACATAAATTTACAAATGTGCCCTTCTCAGTGCCCAGCTTACTTGGATGATGACCATCAAAATGGCTCTGTGCTGCATTGCCTCTAACAACAACAAGACAGCTATTGCGCAGGGTGCAAAAAAGAAGAAATATCTCCATCATCCTGTCCTTCATTCACTCTATCCACTCCTTCCTTAGAGTTTCCCCAGGAAATATAGTCTTAAACACAAGACACTTTGGCATAAATGCTCTCTGACAAATAAAACAGTGCAAGACCCCTGAGGGAAACAGCACAGCGGCATGCGGCGGTCCTGCTGCATGTGTAGTTAGTGGCAGCGCAGCACAGTCAGAACAGAGAGCTTAATGCATGTGTGAGATGGACCGGGTCACCAGTCTAACAGGTCACTTCGGTGGACTTGGGAGCCTGGTCCACAGAACTGTCCATGTTGTCAGTGTGCGAACGTGTGCGTTGGTTGTCGGAGGTGTGGGCTCGGGCACGGCCCTCGTTGGTGTGGGAGCGACTGCGGTTGCCCTCGTTAGTGTGTGACCTGCTGCGGTTGCCGTCAAAGGAAGTCACACTGGATCCGGATGCTGTGCGGGAACGGACCAGGCGGGTCATGCTGGCAGAGGGCACTAAGAGGCAGAAGAACACAGATTAGGATACATATTTTACAGCTTTTTCATGTTTTTAAATGTAATGTTTTAAATGTTAAAATACTTGATATAAGCATGTACACTACCATTCATAAAATTGGTGTTGGTAAGATTTTTTTAATGTTTTAAAATAAGTCTCTTATGCTCACCAAGGCTGCATTTATTCAAAAAAACAGTAAAAACAGTAAAACTGTGAAATATTATTACAATTTAAAACGGTTTTCTATTTGAATATATTTTAAAATGTAATTTATTCCTGTGATGGCAAAGCCGCATTTTCAGCTGCCAGTTTTCAGTGTCACATGATCCCTCAGAAATCATTCTAATATGCTGATTTGTTGCTCAAGAAACATTTCTATTGTTATCAACGTTGAAAACAGTTGTGCTGGCTAATATTTTTGTACATGTTTTTCCCTTCAGAACTAAACAAAGTTCCAAATAACAGTTTTATGTCTTTACTGTCACTTGATCAATTTAATGAGTCTGTGCTGAATATTTTTTTTAAACCTTTTTATACCCCAAACTTTTAAATGGTAGTGCATATCCAAGTTTAATCCGTTTTTGCAGTTGTTTATAAATTATACACAGCATTTTAAGAAAAAGGTCAAGTTGAGCAAGTCAGGTTGAAAATTATATCACACCACTAGAGGGCAGCACAGCCCAGTCATATATCTTGCTAGTATTCGCTAACGTTATGTTAATTTTACATGAACGAAGGAGTTCAGGCAATGCACTGTGGGCATTCCTTATAAAGCCATAGATGTATGGTTAAACGGAGAGTATACTGAACACAAAGACAATATCAATACTTACTGTAACCCATTCCTTGAATGAAGTACTTGAAAGCCTCTGTTAGCTTCCCAGGCTAAGGAGACAATAAAAGCAGAAATCAGTTTATTTGACTACAAAAACAGCTAATCAGGTCGAGGTGGAAAACAGATTTCCCTAAGTACATGTTGTGAAACCGGACAGATTCTAACAGCCGGTAGCAGCAGGTGGCGAGTAGAGTATTAGCACTGAGAACTATATGCCATCGCTGTCCGTAATGAGATTATGGCGTGCTTCATCCCTAATAATCATCCTGTGCCTTGAGCAAACTTGTAAATGAATCTAAATGGCCATAAACGTTATGAATACACACCTGGTCGACCTGGGGCAAGCCTCCACAGTCAGCCATCTGACGAAAGAGAAGGGACATAAAATGTTATTTAAAATGCATGAAAAACACAAATGCGTCACTGCTTGTTTCTCATTTCTGTTTCGGCCATTCACACAGGTGTCTAAAACACCTAGCGCTCCATTAACTCCACTAGTCTCAGCACTTATCGGTGATAAATAGGCCATTTTAGGTGTCATAAACCTAATTATTTGTCCACCTGAGGGCGGGCTGTGGAAAATTAGGTCAGCCGAGGTAGGACTGGCCAGTGTGGACTGCTTCTGCACTACCTGGGTAAATTAGTCACTAGATAATGCTGAGCTATCGGAATCTTATCAGTGCCTGACTTTTCCATGTGGCTATTAATACATGCCAGCTTCACTGGAGTCCACTCACCTTAAGCAGTGTGGTTTTGGTAGGGTCCAGTTTTGTGTTGCACTCAACCTGTACAGAAAACAGACGTGTTAAACCACTAAATACACATGCAGTGGATATAAAGGGTGGAGCAACAGTGTGCAGAATAATAAAAAGCATGGCAGTAATAATGAAGTGAAGATAGTCCTAGATTAAACTTAAACCTACCACTACATCCACTGCAGGGGAACTGTCTCCAACTACCAGGAGTGCAGGACACCTGAAAACAGAACAACAAAGTCATTACTACAGGAAATTGATCCCGAATTGTCTAGAGGTTTTCCAATGATTTTTTACTTACTTTAGAGTTCTGACATTGATGTGGCCACCAGGTACAGGCCTCTCGATTTCCAGGTCTCTTCGGCTGTGAAGTGGAAGAAAACATTGATTGATTAAACATTATGTCAATGCTAAATTAACTCTCTTTTTTTTAGCAGGATGTTTTAGTAGCCGTGTTGTGTTTACCTGTTGTAGGACTTGACAAAGAGTTGCAGATTGAACTGGTTCATGTCATTCACAATGTGGTGACGGTATCTGCCAATGAGGTCATGGTTCTGCTGGATTTCCTCCTGGAGAAATAAGAAAAATATAATAACATTGATGTTACTATAGATTCATCAATTCAAAAATTATCTAGAGGGGGTCAAACATTGACTAACCTTTCCAAACAGGTGAGAGATGATCATGTCAGGCATGGCGTGAGTCCAACCAGAAATCTGTAATTCAAGATAAATGAGCCCACAACAGAGTAAAACTCTATATAACTTATGAATTTTATATAAATTACAATCACAAAGTGGTCAGCACTCACTTTGTGTGCTGCCCAGTCCATCCAGCCTTCAGCGCATGGGTTGATGTTTATTAGCACAAGGCCTTCCACCATAGCAGGGTAATCCAACTATAAAAGGAAACAGTATTTGTAAACCACATCTAAAGCCCAGTTTATTAAATAAACAACCCGCAAGTCAAGCAGATTTTTATTTTTTTTTCACACTGGACATTCCTCAGCAGCTAAACTAGCTAAATGAATACCAAAATCCACAGGAAAAGAAACACTTTTAGCTCTTTATCCTGGTTTGATTAAAACTTTAAATCACTTAATAATAATCAAAAAGGAAGTCAAACTCACTGCAAACTTAGCAAGGATATAAGCACCCGCTCCAATAGCCATGCCGATCACACTCTTCAGCCTGTGGGGTTTAGGAAAACTAGTTGAGACAGAAAATAATCTGAAATCTACCTAAAACTTAAATAATTAAGCAATCAACTCACCCAAAATGTTTAAGGATTGATGGAAGAGTCTCAGACAGTTGGTCCATGGAAGGGTACTCATATCTATAAAAAATAAATTCTTATTCTTCTGCATTAATTTACAATAAAGATGTCCACTTATATGTTTACACATGATATAACTCACCCAGTGGAGAAGGTGTTTGCTCCCTCTTGCTGCCCTGGTGCATCTACATGACACACAGCAAAGTGCTGCATGATCTCTTGCATATCCTCATGGCTGAACAAGGTGTCAAAGCAGCTTTTATCTATTGGAGAAGCATAATTTATGCATTAAAGCCTGTTTCCTTTAGGAGAATCTCTTCATTAATGTGTTGTAAAGTAACACAAAGAGATTTAGGGGGCATTTTAAACTGATAAAATCTTACGGTTCAATCCAATATCATGGTAGGTGAGGATGACGGGCCGGTCACCCTTAGGAACCCCTTTCATGGTACAGTGGACTCTGCCATATGGAGTCTCCACATCATTTTCCTACATGCAACATGGT